TTGTACATTAATTAATATTTTTAAAAGTTTGCACTAGTTATTATCCTTAAATTTATTGCAAGCATTAGTATAGAAGACAATTATATTTGTTAATAATGTTATTTTAAAGCTTATCACTATTGATATTACTGTAAATATAATAATTGATGTGGATTCCAAATTAATTTATTCTTGCAATGGAATTCTTAACTGTCTCGGTTTGTCAGATCATTTAATAAGTATGTGAATTAAAATTAACGTTTAATCATTATCAAATCGACAAAAATTATTTTATAAAAAAGTAAACAAAAATACTTATTCATAAATAAAATAAGTAATAACATGTAGTTATAAGTGTAAACGTGAAAAAAAACTCTACAAACATAAAAAGGTAAAATTCCTTATAATCACTCTTGTATTAATTAGTGTAGCTAAAATATGGGAGGAGTCAGTAGAAACCGGGCAAATTTTTTTAGTAAGTTTTTTTAAAACTTTAAATTAAAATATCTTAACAACTATTAAACCAACCTTAATAAATTTTTTTATTTTAATATAACTAAATAGAATTAAAATAAAAAAATTTTATCAAGTTTGGTTTAATAGTTGTTGAGATATTTTATTTGAAGTCTAAAAAAAATTCACTTAGAAACAATTTGCATGGTTTCTATTGACTCCCCATATATTATTTGAATATGATATTAATTATGTATACGATGTATTGCTAATTCAAATACAGTCAAACCTCACTATAGTAACCTCCTATATAAGCACATTTACTTTATAAGCTTATTTTTTTTAAAAAAAAACAAACTATTATTTAATATAATAAATTTGACCTCTAGAATTGTCACATTTCCTTACAATCAACTTTTATGTATCTCAAGTTGTGATTATAAAGAGATTTGACTATACATTTAATTTTAAATTTGAATATGCACTAAGTGGATTCAGAATTACTTTTATATTGGTTCGAATCTTTAACAATTTTTGAGTGAATTTAAAATTTAGTTTTTAAGTAATTTATAATCAAATTCTGTTGATTTTAAATCTAATAATATTTCATTCTGACGAAAAACACATATACATAATTGTCTCTTAATGAATAATTAGTTGACGAAATTAAAAAAATATTGTTTATATTATACACTGAAATTGTATAATTTACTTATATTAAGTTGCTTATACATAGAACTAGAATATTGGGTGGTTAAGGTTAAAATCAATAAATTCGTATTATATTATATTCATTAAAAAATAAATAGCAAGTTTTTCGGATGCCTTAGTACGTATTGCAAATTATTTTATAAATCATACAAAGGATTTTAATGGCATGAGTAATCCAATATTTAAGCCTTTACTTATATGAAAGGTTTGGATTCCTAAGAACATTCAATCATTATTAAAATATTTCCAATATTCGAAGAACTCATTATATCTCTATGTTTCTTAGAATATTATTTATAACATACAAAGTCGCGTTATCATTAATTATTAAGTTTAATACTTAATTGCATTTAAAATTGCCTAACCGATAATTTTCAATCGATAGAGATTAAAATAACGTGCCGATTGAGAATTGAAAATTTTTGCTCAATTCTAGAAGCTAGCGGTCGTAGTATTTATCTAGAGATTGTACCCGGGTAGAGATTTTCTTGACGAGTACAACCTCTATATTCATCTCAGTATTTATCTAGTAGTGTTTGCCTTCACAATTCTGTATTGTATGCAAATTACTAAAAAAAATCAAAAACAACACTGTTTAAATTTGACAAATCGACATTTGGTCATTTTAAATAACAATTGTATTTGGTGCATAATAAATATAAAACAAAAAGAATATAAATACAAAGGAATAAACATCATAATGTAGGCAAATTTGAGCATTGCCAAATCAAACAATGTGACTTATCATGATTTGGAAAAGTTAAAATTCGATCATAGTAATAAAAAAATCTCCTGGGATAAATCAGGCAATGCATCAACTGCTGTCACTGCATTTTTTAATTCATCACTATGTGAAAAAGCTTCAGATGCTGCTTCAATAGCTTTTTTTAGTTGGTCTTTTGGGCTAGATGCTTTGTCAAATTGATAATAGCTAAAGCTGGCACCTGCATTCATATCAGTAGAAACAGGTGTTTCTTTTAAATGAAGACAAATTTTTGAAAAATATATTGTGTTAAGATGCATAAGTAAAAAAAAAAAAAAAAAAAAAAACATGTCATGAGAATCTTCAGGGATACGTACTAGCAAGAAATGTTGCAATAGGTTTTAAAACACCATGCATAAGTGCTGGCATTCCTCCCATTATCAACATTTTTTTCTTTTGTCCATCAGTTCTCCAAACAGCTTGTAATAAGAGCATAAGATAAGAATAGGAAGCGTTAAAAGCGATGAGAGTAGTGACAATATTTGGATCAGCATATGATATTTCATCTTGAGTAAGTGGGTTGGTGTAATTTCTATTATGACAAATGTTTAGCATAAATATATTATAACTTTATAAGGAAATTAAAAACACAGGAATTGAAAATTTTTCACTTACGCAGCGGTTGGATTGTCCACAACAGGCCAAAGTTGATAGTCTGATTCAGACGCACTTTCAACTTCACTTAAACAATAACTAAATACTGCATGATGTGAATCATCGATTTCTCCATTTTTAATTACTACACCGTTAATTGCAGGTACTTTATCGCTATCGTTTATTACAATTGATTCATCTTCGACAGTTCCTTTTATAATTCCTCTAATTTCTCCTAATACTTTTCCATATATTTCTCCAGTTATTTTACCATCTTTGTATGATTTCACACCAATCGTTCCTTTTATTGATCCGTTTTTTTTTTCTTCAGGTCTTTTTTCAGATGCTACTTCGATTGCTCCGCGGATTTTTACTTTTTTTCCGTCTTTGATTTTACCACTAATTTTTACATTGATCGTAGCATTTATTTTTACAGCAACGCACTTACCCCCTTCACCCTGTATAAATCCAAATATTAGCAATCACTACTTAAAAAAGTTATTTCATAGAAAAGTAATCCAACTAACCTGATGAATAATCAAATCAATAGCTTTTATAGCATCATCGCAATCCTTGACGAGAATTAATCCTTCAAAATTTTTATCACCAGAACTAGGTGCGTAACCCATTCCAGGTCCAAGCTGCGTCCATACAAAATTACCCATGTGATAAAGCCATATATTGCAAGCAAAATAATATTAATCGGAAATAAAACTACTCACCTGAAATAGCGTATTGTACCTAATTCGATGTTGTTCATCAAGAGATTTAAAGACTTTTTTAATAGCATAATAGAGATCACCAATGCTATCAGCATTGAATTCATCTTCATCTATTCTCACATTTGTCATTTGATCAGTATCAGGTTTTTCAATATTTACAAAAGTTTCGAGAGTAGCTTTATTTGCTTTTGAAAGATGGACAACAAGTGAGCCTAAATTAAATAACAAATATACAATAAGTATCGCAATTATATTGGTTTAAATGATTATGTTGATGACTATTTTAATAGCAGCTTATACGTATTCAATATAAAATATGTATTAATTAATACAATTTTATAGCTATTTTTATTCTTGGATACTGAAAATTTTCCGATGACTGAATTGATAAGTTCACTGTTTTAGCTAACGTAGATAACTTATCGATTCGGTCATAGATAATTTATCAGTTGTTTCATGAATAATGAAGATAGTTATTATGATCAATTAATTAATTAAACTATCATTAATTGTAATTAATTAAAATTTCGGTAAAATGTTATTCAACAAGTATTATTATATTATTTACCTTGCTTTATATGTGGAAGAGGGCACGGATAGAAAGGAAACATTTCTTTGGAATAAAATTTGGGTTGTCGTCCTATGAATAAATCATAAAACAAGATTATTTTTTGTTCATTAACATTCTACATTCAAGATTAATGTTTAAAAAAGAAGAGTTGGTTTCGTTTTATACCAATAGCAGCAATAAGATTCGCCACAAGCGACAGATGTAACATTTCCTCTGCAGCGACATGCCGAATTTGAGCCCTCACTTCATCACCAATTTCTGTTCCAGGTTTTATTGAGTATAAAGCGTAAAGATATGCTGGAATAGTAGAGATTTCAACCATCATCGCAATTTTAAGCATCTCATGGAGCTGAAACATACGTAATATCATTAATCTATATAGTGCTGTAAGTATTTTATATTAACGCATAAAAATAACTCACATCATCTAGATTGTATTTATTTTCTTTATCATCTACATTATTCATCTCTACTTTAAAAATGTCGTCGCGTTCAACTTCAAAGAATGCTTTTTTCTCGCCTTCTAGTTGTTTTTCGACGATGAAACCTAATCTAAGTTTTTTTAAAAAATTGATAAAATAGTTTCGGATTATATAATACTGTAAAAATAGTATATAGTTTTAAAATTACAACACATTGCTAACTTGCCTGTCCCATTTCTTAGCCATATCCATGCTGCCCCAATTTGGCATGTCATCTATTTCAACGGTTCTAAATCCACGAGTCCAATTCTCAAAGTAATCTAAACTAACACCATACTTCTCAATGTCTTTTTTTCGATCCTAAATTTTAAATCATTAATTATATGTATTTTTTGTCAACTCTTTAATTTCTGCTTACATACGTCTGAGTATGGAATTGTTATGTCGGGTCTTTGAGCTGGCCACCAATGCGTGTTACATTCGTAAAAATCGGCTTGCCATGGTAAAGCCATAAATGCATTAATATCACCAGGACTTATGGTTTTAGTATTTATCCTGTGTATAATTATATGATAAGTAAGAGATACATCAATATATTTAATATGATATGTAGATTAAATTTTATATTTAATATGAAGTGTAGATTAAATTTTATATAAAATATACCTGAAATCAGATTTTTCGTCGAATGTATTTTTGTCATAAGAACGATAAGTCATTTCAATTCCAGGATAAAATGCACCTCCAGCACTCCATTGAAGCGCAGCTTTGTTAAGACATTTAATTTGATCAAAAACATTAGGAACAATTTCTTCAAATTTATAATTCTTGCCACCTTCAACATATTGAGGATAATCCCCATCATTCATTCCAAATTTGTAATGGTATTCTTTTGGTGGTTTTCCTTCCTCAAAATCTCCATCGGCCCATTTTTGCAATAAACTTGTAAAAAAGTAATGTATTAATTCAGGATAAATGATATTAAAAATAAGCATAATTAATAAAAACTTACATATATTGACCTCTACTGATAGTCAAATATGTATCTGGAACAGTAGGCGTATTATCTCCATCATTCCCAGCTAAAGGTGGCATAAAATAATCATAAGCTTGCCCGTTAAATTCGGCTGAAGATGCTAGATATTTAGGTACCCGAACGCGAGAGAGAATGTTTTTCCTATAAAATGACAATTGAATTAAATATATTAATAAACTAATATGTAAATTAAATTACTAACCTCAAGATCTCATTATTTCTATTATCTCTAGGATCTTTCAAATTCTTTTCCATGTCAGGATTTAAAAAATTACCTTGCTTATGCAAGCCATGACCATTAAAGGCCAACTGATTGACCCAAGAAGACTTACAAATAGATTCAAATATCGGCCGGATGTCTCGATAATAATTTACCTGTAAGATATCAAAAATAAAATAAAATAAAATAAAATTAATTGTTAATTAATTAATTAAATTAAAAATTATAAATAAATAATATAATATATATATAGTGCCCATATTGAAATTATTCGAATTCGAAATTAGGCCGTTCCAGAAGAAAGTTATATTTTATTTTCGTATGGTTAAGTTTTTATATTCAGGATTTAGGATAAAATATTGGTGTTGATTAGTATATTCAACTCAAAATTCTCATCTGGGCACAACATATATATGTCCAAAATTTTTTTATCATATAAATATATATTTAGACCTTTGGATTTTCAGGATCAACTCGATTATCTAGATCGAATACAACTTTTGGATCGATCGGATGTTCCGAATCAACAGGATGCTGCGTTTCTGATATAATTTGATATAATGGTACCAGGTTACCAATACCAGGAGTGTATTTTGGTGGCGCAACAAGGACCCATGCTTTGCCCTCTAAATTTATAATATGTCGATAATCACTAAATTTTTCATCATAATATAAATATAAATATTCTTTTCCTTATGTATGTACCTCTATTCCGGATAGTAGTCATCGAGGTTGAGCCTATACCAATTTCAACAGTAGCATCTATGGAACCATCAGAAGTGTCATCGTACCAATAATCGTTGTTTACATAGTTAGTGATTAAGGAACCTGTAATACAAGTGATATAAATTAGTATAAGCAACAACTTAAAGCATACCAGTACATTTTGTATAAACAAGTACTAACCATCCTTGACAGTTCCAGACTCTCCCTTTCCACCAATAACTAGTAAACTTCCGGTATTTTCAAGTATTACTTTGCCTAAATTGAGTTTTTTCCCGCTGTTATCGTCGTTGCCTTGGCGATAAACATTTGCCGTTAATTCTTTTGTTTTTTGTGGTTTTTCAGAGGATAGGCTTCCCCTTGTTATTGCCATAAGTGTAGACCTATCATAAGGCCATTCTACATTTTTTATAGAATTTATTAATATTTTGAAGTTTAAAGATACGTACGTATAAGCTATTTATAATTACATACCAGCATTTCGTTTAGGATCGCTTTCTTTATATCTCAAGATACCAGAAAATTTTGTATGTGCTGCCTTCTTATTAGCAAATTCGAAATGCCAATCAATTTTTATTTTCACATCAGAAGCATCAGCATCAGTCAGTTTGATTTCCCGTATGGGGCGTTGTTTTTCATCATAACCATAAATTCTGAACCTTGCAGCTTGTGGTTTTACTTTGTTATTTTTATCCTTGAAGAGAAAAGATTCATCACCCTCTATATTGTAATAATTTCAAGATAAAAAGTGCGTATGTTATTATTTACATGTATATCCAATCACGTGATCACGTAATTAGCAATTATAGACCATAAATTTTTTATAACTTACTTCCAACATATACTCCGGGAATTTCGGATCCCACATAATATTCATCAGAGTTACCGACGCGTGCAACATTGAGAGCTGGAAAAATTGCAAAATATTTGATTTTTTTGTAATCTTCTAAAATGCTTTCACTTGACATAGCGCGTGCACTTAAAAAGTGAGATTTAAAAAATAATTATTCTGCGCAAGAAATTTAAGCGAGAATTGAAATGTACCATATGCAGCAAAAGAGCTTATTTATATGTTATAAAAATATTGATGTATCAAGGTTCTAGTAGTAATATATAGACATGTAGTACTATACCAGGAGCTTAGTACGAAGTGTATGGTTTACAGGCAACTGTGTACTAATTCTTGAATCCTATTGGATGGCGTATTCAAATTGTTCACTGGACATCGTGTACATAATCACGTACACTGGTTTTGTTTAATGACATATGAAAGCTCATTTTTATAAAACTGTGGCTGTACACTTATTCTAAATTCTGGTACGTACGAGCATCTGTACCTGTTATACCTTACTACCTTTGGTAATCGATTCAAAAATAAAAAATATATCGAAAAGAATCTCGTTACACGACACTTGTGTACGTATTTGTTTTGGACAATGCCGGCAAATCAATTAGGCCGGGATGAGTAGTTTATTGAAAAGTTAGCAGAATACATAAATAGCAAAAATGAGCAACTGGCCGAGTTGGCCAGAACGGCAAAGACCACCCGCGAAAGTAGCAATCGTGATTGCACTGGGGGTCGCCGTGGGAGCAGCCGGTGGTTCCCGCTTGCCGCAGCAAGCCGGCTGAGCGAAGGAATGATAGAATCACGTGTTCTTTATATGGGAGTGGGCTGGGTGGGTCGCGAAATTTTTTGGCCAAGCGCAGACCAGTCCATTTTTCTCCGCCTCTAATTCTTATACTTACACTCATTCAACGCCCGTTCCTGCTTTTGGGCCACGCATATGTCATTTGCATGTGTCTTCCATGTATGCGTGTGAATTTCCCATGCCATTTTGATCTTCACATGTGCCAGCATGTCGAGGCTGCTTCTCTTTTCGATCACGTGATCTACTATCACTTCGCAAGTATGATTTGCACTTCATAGATTTTACGTATATTTAGATCTGCTTCATGATCCCCGCTGTTGAACAGGTTTGTTTATTTAAAAAAGATGTAACGTACGTACGTTATTGAAATATCGAAAAGCATTGCACGCATGTTGGAAGGTCCGGTCTGATATACCGGAGTTGAATTTTATTTGATGGAGATTACATTAGTTGCGAATTATGCGTTAGGCCGTTCGAAGTTAATTTTTCGGTTAACATCACTTTCTAGAACTCTCGAAAGAGGGGGGGGGGCAAATGAAACGAACATATAAAATGAGCAAACTATTTTTAATGTAAAATTTATTATAACGAATTGACTTCAAGTTAAATTTAGTCTAAAGAGTTGCTAATTAGGTCAGATAAATTTGATTCA